ATGTTTAATGTGATAGGGGCACCTAGGATAAACCACTTTCCCCAAAAGCCTACCCATTTATATATCCTAGTGAACCAAATTTGAGTCTATTTCCCTTTCTTTGTTTTACACCTCAATTAAACCCGAAGCCTTTCTTTTTATTTTTCCTCTCATTTCATACCCTTACCGAGACTTGAGATCTTGTATCACTCTTGTTCCAGAATAAAAATATATATATATATCACTGTTTCGAAAAAAAATCGAAAAAAAAGTTGTTCATTGTTTCAAACAGCATAAAAAACAAATCCTCTGTTCGAAAAAAAGAAAGGAAAAATCGATCGTTTCAATTGTCTTTCATCTATTCTTTTTCCTTGTTTTGTTTTTCATTGCACTTCATGTTAATTCGTGGATTGTTCTTAATTATTTTGATATCTTGTTTTGGTATTTTAAACATTTCTTTTTGGCCTTTTCCCTACCCTAACCTAAACCCTGTTACACCTTATTTAAAGACCCCTTGATTATTGCATTATGTTCACTTTTAGTAGTGGAGACTTGATTGGATTCCAAGCCTATGGCAATATTTTGGTTAGTTTCAGTTTGAGCGATTTCATTTACCTCAAACACTTTGAGCGGATATGTGTGAATCTTTGTGAGGTATTGAGTCATGTTTCATTAAAGTTGACAATTAATTGGGATATCTTGCTTACTTTAAATTTTCTTAGTTGTTTCTTTGCTTGATTGTAACTTGAATTCGACAAATGTCATGGACTTAAATTCAATTGGAAGTTTGATGAATAAATTGAAATTGAAGATAGCAACTTATGATTTTATATGTTAATTAAGGAATACTTGAGGACAAGCATTGAATAAGTGAGGGGGAATTTGATAACTGCTTAATTTAGTTAATATTTTGCTTTTAAATTACTCTTTAATCATTGGTTTTTATGGCTTATTTGTTCGTTTTGATTCATTTTCTGTGCAAGACATCAGATTCTAGAAATTGCACTAAAAGGAAAGAATTCTGCAGTTTTTTTAATTTCGGAATCAAGGCTAGATTAGTGGGCATGAATTCGGGCATGAAACATCCGACGAGGCGATGACATCAGCACCTTCTAGAAGATCCAGTCAGCGTTTCTAGAAGCACGAATGGATTGGCCGCAAGTTTCTGTAATTCGGATTTGGATTAAACTCAAGTTTTAGGATAATATTTTAAATATTATATTTTATCTTTGTTTTAGGTATTTTAGTTTAAATAGGTTTTAGTATTTTAATTAAGTTTTAGGATAATATTTTAAATATTTTATTTTATCTTTGTTTTCGGTATTTTAGTTTAAATAGTTTTAAGTGTTTTAATTAAGATTTAAGATGTTATTTGTTTAGCTTGTTTTTAGGAATTTGAAGACTATAAATACCCTCTCAGGGTAAGTCTAGAAAGATATCTCTCTCATCTGAGAATAAAATCTTCTTTTTTCCTCTAGCTTTCTCTCTATTTTTCGCATATCATCTTTATTTCCTTTTACAATTTTGTTTTCAAATATGCTAAGTATGACTTTGGTCATGCTTAGCTAAATATCTTTTAAGCCGAGGGCTAAAGCAGAGGCAAAATTCCAAACGTGAGAATTGTTTTCTGGGCTTATTTTTCAAATCAAAACTATTTTCAACATTGGTCTGGATATTGTTATGGTTAACGTTGGAATAAGGATTGGCTTATTGAAGCACATTCAACTTCCTGAAAACACACTTAGCATAATCCTAGTCGACATCGAGGAATTGTTCTTGTAGTAACCGACGTGAATCCTGAAGTAAAAATCAGTTTCGATGATCCGAAGAATTTGAGGCAAAACTGAAGTCTGAGGTTGTTTTCACTATAAGTTTCTCTTTCTCTTTAAATTATTTATTTAATTGTTTTCTTTTATTTTAATTCTTATCTTTTATTTTAAAAACTCTTTTTAATCTTTATTACTATTATTTATTATTTTATTATTTTTCCCTTTTATTTATTATTATTTATTTTATTATATTATATCTTTTTAATTTTATCTGTAATTCTATCATCCTCTAAATCAAAGAGTTTTACTAAATCACAAAAATCATAGTCCCTGTGGATAGACTTTGTTTCTCTATACTACTTTTCCTTTCTATTTATTAAGAAGCTGGAATTATTTTGATAGCAAAACGATGGTTATCACTTTTCATCTTTCAATAAGCTTTTGAGATGGAGTAAAATAGATGGGAACTCCAGAGACATAAAAATGGCGGAAGGATTATGCCTGAGCAAGGAGGAGAACGTAACATTGTTTTGAAAACCGGACCGGCCGGTTCAACCGGAAACCACTACCTAGTCCAGTTCAATTTACACCGGTTGAACCGCTACTAGTGAACCGGCCGGAACCGCTGAACCGTTCGAACCGGACCGGCTAAAAATCAGAAAAAACCGGAAAAAACCACCAATTTTGTATTTTTTTAAAAAAAATAAAATAAACCAAACGACGTCGTTTGTTAAACGAGCCAAGTCGAACTCGAGTATTGCTGAGCTCGACTCGAACTTGAAAACTTTAAAAGTAAGCTCAACTCGACTCAAACTCACAAGCTAAAAATTATCAAGTTCAACTCGAACTCGAATATAATATTGAAACTTGAACTCGAAAGGCTTGAACTAAAAAAAATTTAGAAGCTCGATTAAAGCCTAAAATTCGAGCTTGATTAAAGTGAAAGAATAGTTCACTCAATGCTCACCAAAAGACTCCATGATTTTGAATGTCAAATTACCTCTATTATTTATAGAAGTTAGTTGGGATGCTCTTCTATGTTTCTTAGCCATATGGGATTGTTTTGTTCTCATATTTTTACTCTTTAGACTTTTGGGATGTTATTCTATGTTTCTTAGCCATGTGGGATTGTTTTTAAAAAAAATTAAACCAAACAATATCATTTTGTTATGATTTTTTTTAGGAGAAAATAACCTCAGTGACCAAAAATCCCAGATAATATACGATTTTGATCAACTTTTTTTGGATTTGCAAAAATTACCAACAAAATCGCAATGCGATCTCTATTCGCATTGCGATCCTCCACTACGCAAATTCGCGTTGCGATAATTGAAATCGCGTTGCGATAGTGAAATCGCGTTGCGATTTTCCATTTCGCGTTGCGATTTTCCAGTTAAAGTTGCGATAGTTGAAAATCGCGTTGCGATTTTCCATTTCGCGTTGCGATTTTCCAGTTCGCGTTGCGATAGTCTACAGTTGTCGTTGCGATTTTCCAAATTCGTTGCGATAGTCTACAGTTGTCGTTGCGATTTTCCAAATTCGTTGCGAAAATCGCGTTGCGATTTTCCATTTCGCGTTGCGATTTTCCAGTTCACGTTGCGATAGTTGAAAATCGCGTTGCGATAGTCTACAGTTGTCGTTGCGATTTTCCAAATTTGTTGCGATAGTCTACAGTTATCGTTGCGATTTTCCAAATTCAAAATTTGTTTCGATTTTCCATTTCGCGTTGCGATTTTCCATTTCGCATTGCGATAGTGTACAATGTCGTTGCGATTTTCCAAATTCGTTGCGATAGTCTACAGTTGTCGTTGCGAAAGTCTACAGTTGTCGTTGCGATAGTTAAAAAAAAAAGATTTTGTTTCTTAAGAATTTTCTCTAAAAAGATAGTATCCGCGCGGACGTGTCGAAGACACGTATTACCACGACCACGACCACGACCCGAGAAGAGACGAGACGAGACGAGACGGACGGCGGTGGCGGCGCGCGAGAGTCCCCCTTGTTCTCTATCACTCAACAAGAAAATGGGAAAGCCAAGCCTTAAATACCATTCTCAATAGTGTTTTCATACTATGTGGGATTGAGCATTACCACACTTGTTTCCAATACAATGTGATTATTCAGAAACATTAACAATCATGCACCTTAAACAACTGAATCAGCAACCAATTGCATTAGTATTATACGATTAAATATGTCATAATTAAAAGTTAATCTACAATCAATCGCGATTATTGCAATTTTAAGCAAAACATTCAAAAATAATATCACTATTAAGGCTCATCCCACATAGTATGGGAACAAGTGTTGGTAATGCTCAAATCCCACATAGTATTGGAAACACTATTGAGAATGGTATTTAAGGCTTGGCTTTCCCACTTCCTTGTTGAGTGATAGAGAATAAGGGGGACTCTCGCGCGCCGTCGCCGCCGTCCGTCTCGTCTCGTCTCGTCTCGTCTCGTCGTCTCGTCTCGTGTCGTGGTCGTGGTCGTGGTCGTGGTCGTGGTCGTGGTCGTGGTCGTGGTCGTGGTAATACGTGTCTTCGACACGTCCGCGCAGATACTATCTTTTTAGAGAAAATTCTTAAGAAATAATTTTTTTTTTTAACTATCGCAACGACAACTGTAGACTTTCGCAACGACAACTGTAGACTATAGCAACGAATTTGGAAAATCGCAACGACATTGTAGACTATCGCAATGCGAAATGGAAAATCGCAACGCGATTTTCAACTATCGCAACGCGAAATGGAAAATCGCAACGCGATTTCCAACTATCGCAACGCGAAATGCAACGCGAATTTGCGATAGTGGAGATCGCAATACGAATTAGAGATCGCATTGCGATTTTGTTGGTCATTTTCGCAAATCCAAAAAAAATTGGTCAAAATCGTATATTATCTGGGATTTTTGGTCACTGAAGTTATTTTCTCTTTTTTTAGCCCCAAATTTATTTTTTAATTATAGTTATATAATTATATTTATTATTTAATATGTTTTACCTTAAATATCATGTTGTAGTTAATTTGAATCATTTTGTTTCACTTGATTTTATGGTTTTTAACTTATATATGTTATGATTTGCTTTGAATATGACTTGTGATATAATAAATTATTTTTTATTAAATATTTTTGATATTTTTATTTAATTTTTTAAATAATTATGACATCGTCAGGTTCTTGTGACCGGTCGGACCGATTCGACCGATTGAACCGATAGCATGGCCGGTTCGTTAACCGGTCCGGTTCTGAAAACCATGGAACGTAAGAACTGCACCATGACGATCAGCCCAGCTTGAAGAAGAGGATAGTTGTAGAAGTTCTTGAAGAAGGTCTGACAGCTCAGATTCTTCCATATACTGCATTACATTATTTAAAGCAAACTGATCAATAACACAGAAAATACTGTACATGTCATCTATCTGGTAACACGCCACTAGTACAACTGATGAATACATCACCAACTATGGCCAAAGGGATAAAAATATGCCCTCTTCTGGCATTGTCCGTGAGAATAAATAGCAACAAAACTAAAAGGATACAACTTGACTAATGGTTCAATCTGTCAAGTACCTGCGATAAAACACCCAGTATGCTAAAAGCAAACACTCGAACTTGGTCATCATCCTGATGAATCAAATCCTTGAGAAGTGCGTAGACACGAGTCCTAGTAGCTGGGCTTACACTCTTACCAGCATGCTTTACAACACCTTTTAAAGCAGTCAATATGGCCTCCCTTACTCCAGAATCAGATGCCTGAAAATTAATTATTAATGACTAACATCATCCATCTATAAGATAATTAGCCATACAGAAACCAAATGCTAAAAATCACCTGCAAACTAGATAGGAGGTCACTGCCTAATGGGTCAACCCTGCTACTCAATGCACTAAGCTTACCCAGTGCGAGGGCAGCACTTGAGCGAACAGTCCTGCATTCAAACAATTGAGAAATTAAAAAGCAACAAGCAAGCCCGGAAACATGCTAACATCACATGGAAAAATGAAAGAAAATAAAAGGGAAGGATAATTAACTTCAGGGAGAACTAAACACAGTAGAATTATAATAAATAAATGAATATCAGTACTGTTAGACAGCTACAAATTTCAAAAAGACCTTGTGTTATCTTGCAGACACTTGATAAATGTTGTTTGCAGCTGAGGAAGAAAAGGTTTCAGTGCGGTCCCACCCTTTCGGATCATGATACTCAATGTAGATAAAATAGCACTCTTGACTTGCCAAGGAAAACAATCACCTATGATTCGAATAAGTGGCCTGCAGTTATGATACAGAAGAAAATGGGAAAAAATACATTAGATTATAAAACACTGAATAGCAGTCAACAAAGGAAATAGTATGAATTCATCTTAGGGGAAAATGATACTTTATTTAAGAACTTCACAGGCCATTAATGAAGATTAACCTAAATTATGCAGTACTAAAATACACTTACGCAACAGAGGTCCAGATTTAGTGGTTGAAGCTTTTAATTTTTTTATTTATATGACATTGCAATCAAATTATTAAGGTAGGCATTGACAGAATCCATTTTACACTAGATTCAAACAACATAAAGGAAATATGCCCTCAATACTAAAAATTACAAATATGAGCAAGGATCGATGCGATTGACAGGCAGATAACAAAAGCTCGACACAAAAATAGAAAGAAATCTTTCAAAAAAGAGACAAGATTTCATTTAAAGATGCTATAAAATAAACATGAATATTGAACGCCTATACTACCTGTAAGAGTTAGTTAAGTGATACCGTGCCATGTAAATGATATTTTTAACAAGTTCAGATAAGTAGGATTACATGGGGCTTATTAGTATAGAAAGGCTAGGATTACACTTGTTAAAGAATGAAACCCTAGTACAGAAGTCTTCAATACACTTTAAGAAGACATATTATGCTGAAAGCTAGTGGTTCTAAATCCTTAAACCTATTTTTTTTTAAATCAGCTTTATATCAATTTAATCTTTTGTTTCAATGTTTCTCCACTGCTGCTCCCATACTGCATAAAAATGAACCAAAAGATGCCCCCTTATCACTATCAGATTAGCCAAGTTGACGACATTATCCAGGCACAGAATATAGTATTAACTTCCCCCTCTGGCCAATAGAGATATAGAAGTTAGCTACTCCAACAGAAGTACCGAATCCATGGAGACAACCTCAGCCAAAAACAGGCTTTGGTGCATCATCAGGGAACCAAGCCAGGCTGAAAAGTCAGCCAAACATTGGTCTGCACACATTTTGGCAGTTCATTTGTGCTCGACTCTCTTTGTGACATCTTTTTTAGTTATTTAAATGTCGGTTTCTTAGAGTGCATACCCAGTAATTGGAATGACAAACTGTTTCAGTGATTGCTCACTAGTCACTTCTATAAGCTCCCCAAGACCTAGGGCTGCCTGCTGTCTCAGTTCAGCTGACCCACTAATCAGACCCTGCAGATACAATCAGGAATAAATTATTAATTATATATAGCACGGTCAGAGGAAAACAGGTATCCAGTAACAAGGCCGAAACAAAGAATATATTTCACTGATTCACAAAGAAAGTTCCAGAGAAGACAGTTTAATTAATTGTATTCACTCTTGAAACAAATGTGAACTCAAAAAGGAAAGAATACTCAAGCTAGCAACTGCCTTGCAATCTAAGCATCATTCCAACTTTGTATGATTTCAACATGCAAAAAGAACATTACAAGTAAGATGCTGAAGACAAATTGTAAAGTTATTGTAGGATAGAGAAGATTACACATTTGCCATATCCATTAGTGGCATTTATGATGGTAATTGTCATAGAAATTATTTTCTCAACACTTCTTTCATCCGTTCATAATATGCGTGAATGAAGAAATGAACTTGAAAACTCCAGACATAGAGATGATCAAGCAGAAATACCAGCACTAATTTACATCGCATATTTGAGGACAATCCAACATTTTCAGGTATTAACATGAGGTGATGACACCACACATTGCAGAGTTGAAAAGGAATACCTGAAGAAATATTGGAAGCAGTGGTTGAAGCGCTTTTGGAAGAGAGAATCCAGGAATGACAACGGGGCCTCCCTGCAAGTGGATTAAACAAAAGAAAGAGATGTTCAGATTTCTTAGTTTTCCACACAACATTCACATATAAAACAGCATCCATGTGAGAAAACAACACGAACTCACCTTCTTTCTTCTGCGCTCCTTATCTCTTGCAGTAGATACAGCATCACGTACCAACTTATATATGACGGAAGCATCTCTTTTGGAACTGAGTTGACAACCATTAATAAAGCTTCCCACGCAACCTGTCAAACAAAACATGAGATGCAAGGTAGTGGGAGTGGCTATAAATGAACAACAAACAACAAGGAATAGCCCATAACATACAGCAACAGTGGCAGAATCTGTGTCACTAAGCAAAATAATTAAGGTAGATATCATGTTTGGAGCTTCATCAACTAGATAAAGTTTGCTGTTTTTGAAGAAGTATCCAATCAAATATGATGAACTTCTCCTAATTGATGCCTGAAACCACCAAAAGCATTAGCGTCTGTCAGTCGATCAAATAAGATGAACTTTCTAATTGATACTTAAACCAAAAGCAATCGCATCTGTCTGTCAATCATAGATAGAGAGCCATAAAGACGAACCTCACTATCACCAACTCCTTTAAGAAGCTCTGATATCAATGATTCAATGCCCTCCTCATCAATGGCCAAGACCGCTGTTTATGCAACTTCCTAAATTTAAGGGATTATTTTTATTATTAGAATTAGTCTTTTACCTAGTTTAGAAGTTACCTAATATAAAATGTTAGTGTCTTAGTAATTGCAAGAAAATGAGTGAGAGTGATAGAGACGGAGAGAGAGAAAAGTTGAAAGATCAATCGTTCTCCGGCGAAGCTTAGACCGCTTTTGTCGATAATCTAAGTAAGAGAGTTTCAAGACAAGCGTTAAGGGAATTGTTTCTTTTCTAGGGCCTAGTGTGAGTTTTCATTCCAAGTGAAATGAAAAATCCAAAATCCAAATCCTCTTCATTCGCTTTTGTGCAGTTTGACAATGAGGCAGGTTTGAGGAAGGCAATAGATAATATAAACGAATCGTGGATAGATAGCAGGAAAGTATCAGTAGGAGTTGCAAAATATTAGGAAGCTCGATCAAGGATAGTGGGAACAAAACGACCACTGACTAAGACTCCAAGGCAGAATATAGAAGAAATTTCAAAGATTAAGGAGAAAGATGAACTTCCGAAGAGTATAAGGGATGAGAAATCATATAAGGATGTTTTGTTGATAAACAGAAGACAAAGGAGTGTTTTGGAATACAGGGAGATTAGGAAAGACAGTCTAGACAGGGTGAAAGGAAATAAGAATATCTGGGAGATGCATATCCCTTCCGAAAATTCAAGCCGGGTGAAAAGGTCACTTACAAGGATTTTCTAATACTCTTTCGAGCTGGATAAACTTCGTGATTATCTGCGTTTAATTCGTATTTATTCATCGTTGGATGATAATTCTTTGCTTTTTAGAATTACTAATGATGATGTGTTGTATATTGTTGTCTATGTTGATGACATTTTGATTATACAGTCATCTAATGCTATTGTTCGGCAAGTTATCGAGCATCTTAATGTGAAGTTTTCATTAAAAGACTTGGGAGTTGTTCATTATTTTTTAGGGATTGAGGTAGTTCAGGTTAGCACCAGTTTATTTCTTAACCAAAGGAAGTATGTGGAAGAGCTTCTTAACGTCAGACAGAATAACGATTATCATGTAGGCTAGTTCCAACAGATGATTCACAAGAGAAAATTCGCTCAAAAACCAGAGAAAAAAGTCTCTAGAGTTTAATAAAATATTATAAAATCAAAAACTGTCCAAAATCAGTCCACAAGTCGGGCTGTTATAGCCAAAAATCTTGTTTATCGGAATTTTACAAAAAATAGCAAAATCCCAAAAATCACTCTAAATTGAAATTCAAAATAAAATAAGCAATCTGCAAAAAATCCGGCCGAAATCGGATTTAAAATGACTTCCTAATTGACAATCGAAATATTACCATAAATAGTAAAAAAATATCTAAAGCTAGTGATTCGGAGGGGAAAACGACAGAATTTGAGGTCGAAAAAAAGGCTACATGGAGTATATCTCAATGTGGACAGCGTGCGCGTCAAAAAGAGCTTTCCGGATTGGGGTCTTATGCGCGATTCTAACGCCCGTAGCCAAAGTTATGGTCAAAAGACTGAAGTACACTCAAAACGGTCCTAATGAAGAACATATCACAATCAATTCCTGCCTTTGCGCTGATCTGCCAACTCATGGTATCTCAGCGCCATCAAGGTACAATCTAATAGCTCAGCATCATCTGTCTCGGATCCCTCTGCATCACTTCTTAATAAGTTGAACATACTTCATGCCAGGCCAGTTGACACTCCTATTCCAGTTGTTCCTAAGTTGAGTAAGACTAGTGGTGGGGCTCCTGTTGATGCTCAGATGTACAGGAGTGTTGTTGGGGCTTTGTTGTACGTTTGTTACACGAGGCCAGATATATCCTTTTTCTGTTCATAAAGTTGTCCAATTTATGCAGAGTCCTTGTGAATCTCACTGGTCAGGTGTTAAACGTATTTTTAGATATCTCAAAGGTACCTTAGAGTATGGTCTTTGGCTTGCTCCTCAGCAAACTGATTTCTCTTTAAAGTCCTTTACTAATGCAGATTGGGAAAGTAACCCAGACGCTCGTCATTCCGTTCCTGGTGCGTTTTTCTGGTCCAACACGTGTTGTCTTGGAACTCAAAAAAACAACGATCGATATCAAGGTCCACGGATGAAGCTTAATATCGAAGCTTGGCTGATGCGACGTCTGAAACTCTATGGGTGAAGGCTGTTCTCAGTTACATGGGATTAAAATTTGTAAAGTAGTCAACTATTTGGTGTGATAACACAAGTACTGTTGCCATGGCAGCCAATCCGGTTCTGCATGCTAAAATCAAACATGTGGACCTTGATGTTCACTTTGTTCATGAAAAAGTTCTAAGTAAAATGCTGGAGGTCAACAATGTTCCTGCTCGGTTTCAGGAACTAAGAAAGAATCTTAAGGTTGTTTCTTGCAAAACTCTTTCTGCTTCCAAATGATGTTTGTTTCTTCTGCTGTCAGGGCTTTGTTTTCTGGTTAAGAAAGGTCTGTAGCGGGGAAAATGTTGAAGGTCAAGGTGGTTGTTGAAGTTAAAGTTTGGTTGAAGTGGAGAAATGTTGAAAGTTGGTTATTGCTGTTGCTTTTGGTTCAGTTTGTTGGATCCGTTTTCTTGATTCTGTTAAGCCCAACTAGTCTATGGGGGGTCAATCTTAAGTGTTGACCCGTTTAGCTAGTGTGGGCTATATAAAACGTGCTTAAAGGTTAAGGGCCTTAATTGTTTTCGGCCTACGTTTTCTTTATGTTTACATTTTATGTGCTTTACAGCTGTAGCACTCTACTCATTCCTTTTGTTCATTCATGTACCTTCTGAAGACTCTTCTTCCTAAGGGGAATCGTTTCTTCTCTTTTAGTATATTCAATTACGTTTCATGCCTTATTTTGTATTTTCAACACACATATATTCCACTGTTTCAAATTTGTATTTTGTTATTGAATATGTTCTTGTTCTTTTACTGCAGCGAGTGCTTTTGTTTTTCTAAGGATTTGCTTCCCAGTTCTATAGTTTGTTCTGCTTTATATTCAAGGGTGGAAAATGGAGGCTTTCATTTCCATTTTTGGTCTCTTGCTGCCAAATCTGCTGAGTACACTGTCGATCCTACTGCTCGACAACTTAGTTACTTATTCAAGCATAAGACCAAGTTTCTGAACCTCCGGATTAATGTTCAAGACCTGGAGGGTGCAAGACAAAGGCTGCAACAATCTGTTGATGCGTCGGGCTGTGATTTTTGATGATGTTTGTAGGTATCAGTTTCACAGCACCATTGTCTCGTGATATCATGGTCCCATTGGCCTTCACACTCACAAGTCGTAAATGTTTGTTAAGTTTCCCATTGACCTTAAGGGTCCAAAAGCTTCCTCTTTTGCAGTCAAGGCGTCGTCACAACTTCCTTGGAATGAAGAGTCCACAACGCTCCCTAGGATTTTCTCCCATAGAGGTTTACTCTGTCTGGAAAACTCTTCTGATTCACTCTCCTCTTTAGAGTCAGAAATGAAGCTATTTACTCTCTCTGTTGTTAATTCCACAGCAGATAGTGCAGCTTGCTCCCTCAAGAATGTCACAATTTTGCGTCTGGCACTACGTGTTTTAGCATGTTGCAACCAATGTTTATGCCTTTGAATAGCTGATTTACTTGAGAGCGCGTTATACATGATAATCTCCACAACTTCGGCATTGGTGAGTACATGGTTGGAGAAACAAGATTACCATTGACCTTTGCAGCTACCATTTTGTTTCCAAGATTAGTGTGTATAATGTAGGCATAGTCAATTACAGTAGCCCCTCTAGGCAGATTTTTAATATCTCCCCTTGAGGTAAATAAAAAGACACGACTACCTAAGATATCTCTGGTGATGGTATCCACAATTTCCCTAGAACTCATGTTGCCAACAAACTCCTCTTTCCACTCTCTAATTACATTGAGCCACCCAACCTTGAGTGTTAAGTTTGCATTGTTAAGGCAAACTGCCTTCCCTCTTGTACTTCGAGCATTTGGCTCTGCATGCCCAACTAGACCAGTAACAAAGACTCTCCCACTATAATGAGCAATAATCCCTCTTTCAGCTATCAAATCCATCTCTTCAATTCTAATCTGAAATTCCAGGCAAAACATGATTTCATAAAAAAAATTGAATTATTGTTGTATGAAGATTTTGATAGTCATTAGGCTTTGATGTTGCTATGTAGTCTTTCATAGCTCGAGGAACAGGAGCCCAGTTACTATAGATTAATCCAAGAACATAGTAGCAAATTTGATGTGAACTATAAAAAGGTTGGTTGACACTGACCATATCATAAACACTGAAATTGCTCTATATACCCAATTTCAATAGAATATAAAGTGTAAGGTGCAACCTTTGATTCACACTCCAATTCTTACCCAAATAAATTATACTCCTTCCCATCAACAAAACTCTAAACACATAAGGATCAAGAATTGATATATGTTCACTGACATTCATAACACCATCAAATAATTTTTCCCCAACATTGATTGAACTATAGAATTAAAGTTATTTGAGTGACCTACTGTTTGACACATAAGAAAATGAGCCACATTTGTCTTGAAGAAAAATTAATGAACTGGTTTTCTGAGTCCATACCAGCAAAGAGTTTGGATAAAACAACCATGGAAGGCGTAAAAGTAGTAATTTGAACTGATATAGACAAACCTGACTTCTCAAACAGTGGAACAACTCTTAATGATTGCTTCATATGGCATTCACGCTGCAAGAGCTCAACAACAAGAACATTCGCAGGGGCAATTGCCATTGAAATAATGTATGCTCCAAAGTTGTCTGTCAGAAGCTCTATCAAGACACTGAATGTATCCAAAACATCAATAATTTCTTATGTTTTAGGAAGATCGGGACCAAACAACAGACATTGTCCACTTAGTTCATATAGTATCCAATCTTGTCGTTGTTCTTCAGACCACTCACGTGAGGAATCAATTTTCAAGTGCTGAGTAATGCCATCCATTACTTTTGTTGGAATTTTTTCAAACACTTGATACCCATCATTTGTGTCTTCTATTGCCACAGGTAACATCTGTGCAGTTTCAGAGCTGTTTTGGTCTTGATCTTTGTCCTTCCAGTCAAGACCCTTAGAATCTATTCCAAATAGCCCTTATTCATTGCAATCCTTGTCTCCATGTACTGATCTTGCTTCACCAGTTTTGATAAGTCTTCAATCTGCTGTTGAATCACAGAAAGAGTAGAAGATTCATATATTGTTTTGCCAAGAGTTGTGACTCTAGATACCAATTTGTTATGAAACTTGAGAAATAGAGAAGTTGAGATCGAAGAAAATGAAAGGATTTAGAAAAGAAGAAGGGAGAATACAACAAAGAAAATTTTCATTCATTCATTCATCAGATGGATTTTTCCTCCTCTAGTACATAGTTTTATATAATTATAGTGTACTAAGACTAACGTTTGCTTGATAGCCAGGGCAGATTCTTCTCTTGGGCTTCCAGTTTTGGGCCTCCTTTCTCTAGCTTCATTTTATATCACTTGACTCATTTCATTGCCTCTCAATTTTAGAATTTGTAATTTGTAATTCCTTTTTCTTCTCTTTCACAATCCCTAATTCATTTTCTGAATCCCCAATGCCCTTCGCTTAGTGTTTCTCCTATTATCCTCCAACCGTGACATGTCAGCATGATAGTTTCATGTGCCTCATCACAAATACAGTAACGGGCATCAGAAAGTTGAGCCTGTGACAGACATACGCCGACAGGTAGAGCTTCATGCGTTGCTCGCCAGCCAAAAACGCTTACCTTTGGGAATGTTTTTAAACGAGATAAATACAG